ATTATTCGGTTGTCTTTATTATTTTTATTGTTATTGAATTGTGTGTGATGTCATAAATTTTGAACAATAAAAAAATAAGCTAAAACCGAGGCTAAGGATTATTTTGATATGAAGTGCGCGAAAAACGGAGCTAAAACGAGTACAAACGAGGAAAAAAAGCAGAGTATGTTACACTCGCGACTCGCGACATCGTCTCGCGAGTCGCGACTTCATCTCGCGAGTCGCGACTTGCGGCTCGCGACTCGCGAGCTTGACAGAGCCAAAACAGGCAGAATCTAGCGACTCGCGACGAGGACTCGCGACTCGCGACTGGACTCGCGAGATGAGGTCGCGAGTCACGAGATTCTGGGACTTTTAGCTCTGTAAATCACGACTCGCGATATGAAGTCGCGAGTCGCGAGATGATGTCGCGAGTCGCGAAATGATGTCGCGACTCGCGAGTTGGACATAGCCAACAGTGCCAGAATCTCGCGACTCGCGACCTCATCTCGCGAGTCGCGAGTCCTCGTCGCGAGTCGCGAGATTTCTGGCTGCACTGCGTCACACTACGTTTTGGGCTCGTTTAGGCTCGTCCGAACTCGGAATTGAGTTCTGTTTATTCCTACGCGTCGCTAACAAACCCATCTATCCAATAATGTACTAAACTTGCACTAAACTCCTGACATACAATCCCCACACGACTCGTGTGGAGTAGCCGAACCATATATTTTTTAGAACCAATCTCATTGTTATGGAATATTTGAGTTCAAATAATATAGTCTAAAAAAAAAGGAAAAATACAAACCAATCTCATTAATGTTTTACAATATAATAATAATAAAAAAACATTCATTACATAATTATTTTGACTTGGCATAATTTGCCTTAAATTTAGCCAATTCATCTTAGTACCGCTGCGCCAGCAGAGGATTATAACCTGTAAAATTCTGCAAGGATTGCGAAAAAGGCTACAAACACGGTCCATCCACTACAAAAAAAATGGAAGGAAACAAAAATTTATGTTAAATATTTATAAAAAAAATAAAATTATTGTAATCAAATAACAACTACAATTTAACATGAGACTTACATAGTCGTTGTTGGCACGCGTAGGAACCTCGATCTGGTCCGGCAGATTCTCGCCCAAACATTTAGGATGGGAAACCCGACGGTACCACTGCATGTACTCCGCAGTCGCCTCTGCTCGATCATCTGTGCTGGCCTTATACATACTGAGGTTGACGGTATGTAATACCGGGAACTGGTTCCACATAGATACTGCATTGACATCAGAATGCTCAACCTTGTAGAGCCTCGACTCCCAAGGACGGCAGACACTGATTGGCGCGAACATAGGGGGAGGGACTGTCTGGACATACCCCAACTGCCGCAGAAACCGCACAGGATAGTACGGCTCGACGATATCGCGGTACCGAATTAACCCGTAATAAATAGTCCTCGGCTCTATCTCGTGCGGGGTAGAGGTGCCGTATGGCAACCATTGCACCTGTTCACAATTGCATAAAAACATTTATAAAAATATTTAGATTATTTTAAATAACGAGTAACTAAATTTAAATAAAATAACTTTACGTACATCGGAGGCAGTGAGCATGTCAAGTCTCCGACGGATGGCTACGAGACGCTCGTCCTTCCTCTGACCTGCTGGTGGGCTCCACATCTGAGATCGTGCGGAGTCGTTAGGACCGAGGGGTAGACGTCCCCCCTTGGGTCGAAAATTGGGGAAATACTCATAAATCCAAGACTGTATAAGAGTCAAGCAGCCGGAAAGTTGTCTGGAGTCCCCTCTACTGGCAATACCTAACTGTCGGTACAAATATGCCAGCGTAGCCGATCCCTACGAGTAACCCCCAATGGCATCCACGCCGTTAAGCACCTCAGCTAGGAGCTTGGGAGTCACTCTACTACCACTCTTGTCGCCGAACAAGGTGGTAGACAGCAGCAACCAAATCCAGGCACCAGCCTCATCCAATGCCAACTGGTCTTTACCCCAGAATTTCTCTACAATGGAGCCTTCTGCCACAGAATCGTGCTGCCAGAATGTCCCAACGAGGTCAGTCTTACTGACCGAAAGTATATCCATGCAATAATCCTGGCAGGCCTTTGTATCCGGCTCCTCAACGACCATGGATCCCTCAACAGGAATGTCCAAAATGGCCCGGACATCGTGCAGCATAATGCTCATTTAACCAAAAGGCAGGTGAAATGAGTTAGTATATGGTTGCCATCGCTCCACAAATGCAGTAAGTAGTGGAGTGTCCAAGTGGGCGTGCATGGAATCTGCCAGATGTGACAGTCCAGTACCCTTGATCATATCAAGTGTCTCGGAAGACATATCACCTCGCCAATCTTTTAGATTACCGAACGCTTGCACTCTGAGATGGCATTTCAGTAAGCCTCGGCACTCTCCATTCCACAACCGCGAGGCTATGTGCCCTAGAAAGCTAGGGATCACACTGTCATCCATGGGCCCACCGTCCATTGGACCTCCAACGATCCACTCTGCCTCACGATCAGTCCTAGATCGTTTGCTAGTACCTGCATTAGAATAGAACATAATGTCACTAAAACAGGACTAAGGGTCGTTTTAATATAAAGTGCACAAAAAACGGAGCTAAAACGAGTACAAACGAGCAAAAAAAAGCAGAGTCTGTTAAACTCACGACTCGCGACTTCGTCTCGCGAGTCGCGACTTTATCTCGCGAGTCACGACTTCCGTCTCGCGACTCGCGAGGTTGACAGAGCCGGAATAGCCAGAATCTCGCGACTCGCGACTGTACTCGCGACGCGCGAGATAAGGTCGCGAGTCACGAGATTCTGGCACTTTTGGCTCTGTGAAATCGTGACTCGCGACTTAATCTCGCGAGTCGCGACATTGTCTCGCGAGTCGCGAGTTTAATAGAGCCGAAATATGTGAATTCGCGATCCGCGACTTCATCTCGCGAGTCGCGACTTTACCAATAACTTGTTATAATTAAGTCGATATATTTAATAACAACAATAATACGTAAATTATTTACCTGAGGATCCAGTGCTAGCAAAACGCCCCCCAGCCTGTCGTGGAGGAGCAGGATGAACAGGCCGTGAAGGAGCCGCAGGCTGCACAGGAACCGTAGCCTGTGCAGGAATATCGTCATCGCCCTCATCATATGAAGATGCCGACTCGTCAGAATCCTCAGCCATCTGGGCTACCGACTCATCAACATAATATCCCTGCTGACCGTCCGGTGCTGGTGCTGGTGCAGGGGGTATCGAGCTGCCTTACTGGCCAGCAACAACATATCTATGCTGACTGATCTCGTACAGTGGTGGTGCAGCATATCCCTACTGACCAACTGGTACTGGTGGTGTACCATATCCCCTCTGACCAGCTGGTAGAGGTATATGGAGTCTCGAACTGCCTGCCTGGCCAGTCTGTACCCTCCGAGCCTCTTGGGTAATGAATTCTCGATCCCGACGAGCGGACGCAGTTACACCCCGTTGCTTCGAGTGTCGGTGTCCAGATTCGTCAATATACTCATCCATCTCTTCGTCGTTCCTATCATATTGTTCAGGCCTAGCAATACCCTAAATCACCAATTTAAAATAAAAATTAGTATATATATATATATATATATATATATATATATATATTATTTTTTTTTTTAATTTTGTAAATATTTTTTTTAAAATTTAATTTTTAAAGTCAATATAATTGATTAATTTACTTATAATAATGTCTTAAGTTAATATTAATAACTTATTAATTAATTTCAAATTTAATAAATATTGTAATAACTATTATAATAGTAATTAACTAATTTATAATATTCACTAATTTTTTTATTTTTGATAATTAATATTTTATTATTATTTACTTATTATAATTTTTTCTTTATTAATATAATATTTTTTCTTTTAGATTATAATAATTATTATAATTATTTATTAATAATAATAATTTATTAGTAATATTTTTCTAATATAGTATTAATTAATATAATATAATTATATTAATTTTTTAATATAATTATAATACTTCTTTATTACTACAATAATTATATTAATTATATTTTATAATTTTTTAAAATAATTTTATATTAATTTTTATTTAACATAATTATTTTTTTAATATTTTTTTATTTTAAATTTTTATTAATATATTATTATAAAATAAAAT